TGAAACTCATTATAGCTGTATTTGGAGCAACTATCGGTCTAGATACACCAATAATGACCGTGTTTTCTCTCTTCAGCAGAAGACAGTAGAGGCTCATACATAACACTCATTATAGCTGTGTATTTGGAGCGGCTATCAGTCTAGATACATGACGTGCTCACACATGACACTCATTATAGCTGTACTTGGTGCAGCTATGAGTCTTAGACTCTAGATACACAACGATAATAACCGCATTCTCTCTCTTTGGCAGAAGACTGTCTGTAAAGGCTCATACAGGATGCCAAGTCCAAACTTCCAATTTTCAATAAACACACGCAGCGCAGTACAGGCGCACATACCGCCATCGAAACACCTAAAAGATGCATGAATGCAGCATGTTCACAAAACAAAGCAAAAACAAAAAACTACAGTGCAAATCCAGTTTCATAGACGGTTACAAAAAAAAAAAAAAAAAAAACAACAACTATGGTACAGACTGCTACAGAGTCTACAGACCTGCTTTGCTTTGATACAAGCTTGCAATAGAGAACGGCCACTTTAACGAGAGCGTCGTCCTTTCAGGTAGTTTTAGACAAAGCCAATGGGAAACAGAGCCACTTTGGAACTATTGACGGTAGAAGCTCGAATCCAATCAACCATGGTTTTCCTTCTCTCGCCTTTCAAGACGGAAGTCGACAACTTAGAAAAAATCCAAAATCCTCTCCACATTGTGAATGGGCCTCTGCTTATCACAGGGGGGGGGGGTCCATTTGGGGGTGGAGGGAGAAATGGGGAGCAGGTAGCTCCTAGACCAATACGAGTTCCAAGACATGGACCATGGAAAGCCGATCCTTATGGTGGCAGCGCAAGTGCGAACACGGCTTGAGATGCACGACGCTCGTGCACAGCGCTTACCTCCCTCGCAGAACCAAGTCTGAGCACGAACTTCTTCCGCAAATGAGCGCAAGGGGAGAAGGCAAGGCAGGCAAGGAAGAAGAGCTTTCCCCGCCGCTCGGCAATTCACAATACCCATTCACAATGCTTGCCTACCTCGCATTGCCGACGAAGAGACTTCAGTTTGAGAGCCTCGGCAAGGAGGAAAGCGATAAAGAAGACTTTTCCAAGCGGCCGACCTTGGCCAGATCATCGCATAGGGGATGACACACTCCATTGTCCACCAGAAGATATGAACAAGCAGCAAATGAACACGAAGGTGCAATGTTTGCTACACATTCAACGACAGTGAATATAGGAAAAAAGATAAGAATCCTCGCACCGGAAAGTGTCGAGAGTTGTCTCACTGATGTCAAAACACCACCCTGATAAGCCTAAAACAAATCTACAAGCGACTGACGAAACAAACGCGATACCTTCGTGACCGTAGCCTGCATGGTGGCACGGACAGAACGGCGCTGGAAGTCCTCGCCGGCTGTCGGCTGCTTCGCCGCAAAGCTACCAAAGCCCCTTCGTTACCGTAGCCTGCACGGTTGCACGGACAGAAGGGCGCCGCAGAACTCCTCTCAGGCTCGCAGCTGCTCCGCTGTCAAACTCGCCATGCGTTCATCGTCTGGGGGTTTCACAGGCGGCGCCATACACGACCGTGCCACGGACTCGAACAGCTTCTCGATCTCCGGTGCGCAGCGGGTAAACCCATGGCTCCAGAAATTATATCGGGGGTTCTTGATAAGCTCGATGAACGTTATGAGAAGGCCCCACGGGTGTGGACGGTTGACGATGAGGCGCTCCAACAGCACACGGGTTATTTGCTCCTGGATGATCTCCTGGTTGGCATCCGCGAAAAGGTAGAGGAGAACGCAGGAGAAGTAATGTGTGTGATTGTTCGGATACCTCAGTTGATTGGCGATAGCATTGAGAAACAGGTAACGGCCATCGGTATCAAGGTCTGTGATGAGTTTCTGGAAGATATCAGTCGGCGCGCTCTGCGTGATCGACGGGGTCGGTGCGGCCATCTGCTGGGGCGACGTTTTACTCTGTAATTGCTGTATTGCCTGCATTCCAACATACAGAACCAAGGAGTTGACCAGAGGAACGTTGTACCTAGTCCCGCACTGCAGAGCCTCCTGAGGCGACAGCAACAAGCGTTGCTTGAGATCCGAGAGGAAAGTCGGTGGCTCCCTTGTCTTCAAGTACTCGTCTACGTCGCTTTTCATCTGCTTCATTCGCAAGGCCAGATCGACCTCTGACAGGATTCTCGGAGACTGGCTGATCTCGGGAAGGAGGTCGACCTTCAGGTTCGGCGTAAACGGATCAGGCAGGCGCATATTGCGAGGGAATGCGCTCAAAATGAGATTCCGCATCTGAATGCAGCTGGGAGGAATGACATCACAAAAGCTGAAGTGATTGTCGCACAGGAACTCGGGGAAATCGTGGAGAAGCACAAGCAACACTCGAAGGGTACCCTTGTAAAGAAGTCGAACCGGCTCGCTCAGATCAGCGTTTCTCAGGTAGGGCTCCATGAATTTGAAAAGGGCAACCAGCAGCTTCTGAAACAACGGCCAACCCTTCTGTTGATTCGCTTGCAAAAGCTTTGACATGAGCATCCGATGGCTCACGAGTTCCAACCACGCAAAGCTGAAACCGGGCACCCGCAACGGCTGAAGTCCGTACAGCGCTGACCCGAAGGCTGTCAGAACAAGGAAATTGTTAGAGTCCAGATTGTTCGGGTCTGGCTGGTTGAAGTCCATGAACCAATTCACAAACAGCCGGAAGTATGGCCGCGGATTGAAGGACATTTTCTTCTCATCCGCATCTCTTAAGATCACCTTGAGCATCACACCGAGAACACGATTCAGGAGATTGACCTTAGACATTGCATTGTTCCCCGAAGGATCAACGTAGAACTTCACGAGGAGCACCACAAGCTTCGAGTACATGTCGATTGCTGTGAAGACCAAGGTCCCTTGGGAGCCGCCAGAGTTATCGGCAGTGCTGAGAGAGTGGGCAACCGCCAGCTCCGTGAGGAGACGGAAAAAGCGGTCGGATATGTCATCTCCCTTGAGCAGCCCGGAGAGCTGAAGCCGCGATATGTACAGTGCATAAGCCTTCTCCCCACCGACCGGGGAGTCGCAAATCTGCGCCCAGTCCTCAAAGAGGGCGCCAACCTTTTCGCGCAGCCCAACAGGGTCACCGGCTGCACCTTCCTGGTTCCCACCCTTCCCTTCCTCTTTCACAACAGCAGCCCTGCCTGAACCAGACTTCTTCTCGGCCTTCATTCGCCCTTTATCCTCCTTTGCTCCAACAGCGCCGTACTGCCCTCCATCCGACGTTGCCGAGTTCCTTGCAAGGTCGACAAGCTGCTGCAGCGATTCGTTCGAGTTTGGGCGCTGTGCGATCTTTGAAAGCGCATCTATAACATTAAAAAGCTCTGTCACATTCACGATTGGCTCCTGGACGATGCACGTCTTCACTAGATGGATTGCGAAATCTGTGGCATTGGCATTCCGTCCCCCATCCACCAGCTTCACCAAATGCAGGTTATACTCCGAGAGACTGATCAAACCCGAACGAATAAGCCCAACCGTTACCTCCAGATTCAACTTCCTCTCTTCGTCCGAATAGATTACCCAGCTCGTGATCTCTTTCACCACACGCTTGCAGACCGTCCTTATTCCCTCCAGAATAACAAGATGGACAGACAGGTGGAACTGGTGAAACTGGGTGCCACCATCCTCATAAAGCCGCTTGAACTCCATCTGGGCGATTGCAATAGCAGCTTCATCTCTGCTAATGCACTGCGTTACGATTTCCGGAACGTCGGCCACCAGGGCTCTTATCTCGTGATCCGCTGGAAGAGCCGCATAAACCTGTTGTGAGACCTTGCCCACCAGCATGTCTATTTTAAGAGAGACAAGATGGTACTTCTCCATGGCCTCGCTGATACTCAGAATTGGCTCCACAGACCCTGCCCCTGCCTGATCAAGCGGGGATGCATTAGAGGGCCCCATAGACAGAGCTTTCGCTTGGGCAGGAATTTCCGCAGCAGAATCCATCATCACAGTCGGGCCCGTCGCTCCTGTATGAAAGCCCAGTCCAAACCCCATGTCAGATAAGCTCCGAGTGTTTTGCTCTTGCTGCATGCCCGCAGCGGCTGCCAGAGGGAAGTTTGGTGATGCCCTCATATGCGGAGGGGGAGTGGCACGCCCGATATCCTCAAACATTCCTGCACTCATAGGCTGCATGCCAAGAGTCCCGATCGGCATTGACGCCAGATTCACACCTCCTACACCTTGCACGGTGGCAACCCCCATCTGCACAGGCCCATTAAACCCAGGCAAACTCTGCTGGACCATCTGGTTCAGGCTGTACGGCTGCAGAGGCATCCGCCCTCCAGGGGCAGGTCCTGCATTGGCTGCGGTTGCAGGAGGAGCACCACCAGGCTGTTGCATATTAGGTGGTGACATCTGCTGAGGCGTGCTCGGTGACTGCCCAGCTTGCCAGTGAAGTCTCCCAAAGTCCTCGTAGACACGGTGCTGTGCCGGCGACAAGCATCCAAGCTTTGGCCTCAGAGCCTCCGGCAGTCTAGCGAGATTCGAGTACAGGGACTCGTAGTAAGCTGCACCAAGCGCATCGCGCTGCTGCCTCCGGCGAATGAGAGCAGCTCCCAGGTTCTCTTCCAAATCCCTCAGCGCCTTCTCAGTTGCTGCTTTCTCAATCACAGCGCATCCAAGATCCAGATACTCGTTGGTTATCAGCTGAACTGCCTGCTCTAGTATCTCTCCAGACAGGCTTCCCTGGAGCAGGGTGCCCAGATTTAGATTCATCGCGTTCCTCAGCGGCTCCTTGCAAGTCACATGAGCCAGGCTGCCAGCCAAACTCGCCACCATCAAATTTGCTGCCCGGTGTATACGTCCTTCCTCCGCCTCCAGAGCATAATCCTTCATCACCAGTTCCCTGGTCGTCATGCATGCAATAGTGACGCTCCTCTCCACTGCAGGTGATATGATCTCTCTGATTGCACGGTCCATTGCCTGCGGCACAATCCTTGGCAGTTGAAGCTGACTATGAAGCTGACTAAGCCCTGCCAGCTTCGAGTTATGCACAACCATCGATGCAAGATTGTTCGGCACAGCCATCTGTACCTGCAGTTGTTGTTGCATGTTGTATGCCGATTGCGCGACATTAGCGTTTTGAACCATGCCTTGATTAGCCAAAGTCACACGCTCTGCCCCCACAACACCAGCCTTCTCTTCCACTTCTCCGGCTGTCTGCATCGGCAAGACATGGGCAGCAGCCATAGAGGGTGCTTGCAAAGGTGCCCCGCCAGGAGCTGGCTGATGTGTGGCCATGGATCGAAGTCCGCCTCCAGCAGCAGAACCATCTGCTCCCGCACCATACTGGATCTGGTGGCCAATTGAGACTGCTGCTGCTGATGGGGTGGGTTCGGGCAGCGATGCTGCGTGAGCAATTCCTGCATCCTTGTTTGAGAAGTCGGGGTTGTTTTCCATTTCCCGAGGACGCCCCTTCAAGAGCTGTGTGGGCTTCAAGTCCTTCATGTCCACAGAAAGGTTTTTGAAAAGCACCTCGATATCGAACTTGATGTTCATCTTCAGATTCGGCAGGTGAGCTATCTCGGCAAGAAGGTTCAAGATCCCCATCGTCCACGGATTTGGAGGCTGGTAAGCGATGCTCGCCTGGCATGGCTCCAGGATTTTCGATGTAAACGGAACAACAGCAATCATCGAACCCTTTTCGTAGGCCTCAATAAGGAGGGACTTGGGATCAATCTCACGTGCCAACAGCGACTTGTTTCGACCGATGGTCAGTCTGCCAAGCCAGCTGCCGAGGTTCTTCAGCAGCGATCTCTCCTCTGAGCTCGACTTAATCAGCTCCGATCTGAGCAGAACCTTGCAGTTTTCGTAAGCCGCCTTGACTATCTCCTTCTGAAGGTTTTTCGAGTTAATTTTGTCCATGAACTTCATGTACAGCTCGTGAAAGTTGGGCTCGATACTTGCCCTTTTCATCACCATGTACTGGGCAAACCAAGGGTAATACTGCTCCTTCAAGATGTCCATAAGCTCCTTGGACTTGCCATCAATATTCGCCAATGAGATGTTGTTGATGATGAATGCAACCTTATCTTGGACCTCCTGAGAGGGAACCTCGATAGGCGGTCCTTCCCGGCGCTCAGCAGCGGCAACGAGGGTCTCTATATTCAACGCATGTCCAAAGCCTGGAGTCTTCAACGAGCTCCGCATCACCCCTGCTGCTCCTGTTGGCTGTCCATTTGCTGTTAGCCTATGGACATGATCTTGGCCACCTCCGCTCCTTACCGGAACTATCACCTGCCTGCCCGCACCTATCGAAGCCAACATCTCTACTGGTGCAGTGTCCGGCGCAGCACCTTGTGGCTGCTGATGGGAAGTCTGTGGCTGCTGCTGCTGCTGCTGCTGCTGCTGCTGCTGCTGCTGCTGTTGCTGTGTTGGCTGCAAGGAAGAAGTTGGCTGTGGCTGCTGTTGTGTGCCCGTGATTGGCGATCCCGGCTTTGCAAGCGTCGCCAACGACAGTCCTGCTAGCTTTTGAACGCTATCGTCAGCAATCGACAATTGCCATTGAACTGCAGGTTTTGGAAGAGCCTGGAGACCGGCAAGCTGCCCGTTCATGGACTCGGGAAGCGGGACTGCGGCACTCGAAGTCAGATCAGCCTGGGTTGCAGGAGCACAGTTCCTGATGGTTTTGATGTACTCCACAATATCCCGGTGCTTTTCATGCATGTGTGGGATCTGTAAGATCTGGTTGCAGTACTGTGGCCACTCACGAAGGCGATCCATGAACTGCTGCAAAGCAATCAAGCCAAACGCTGACATCTTCGAGTCCGGAGATTTTCGCAGAGCATCGAGAACGCAACGCAGCGCTATCCCCAAGGTTATCGCAGACACAAGCTGGTTGGAAATGAGTGAGCCAAACAAAACTGCAGTCGTGTGAAGATAGTTTTCCGGGTAACTGGGGAAGAAGCGGTACTCGTCAAAGAGGCACTGTATCATGCACGCAAAGATCTCCTCCTCCCTCTGGTTGTTCGACTTGCTGAAGCTCTTTAACATCTCCACAACCTCGGTTATTTTCATCTGACCATTGTACACCTTCTGGAAGTAGGAGTTGGCTTCCTCTTCAATGTCAGTTGCAAACATTTCTGGTGTAGCCTGCTCAGATCCCACCATGCCCAGTTTCGGATGCATTTTCACTGCCAAGGCATACATTTGCGTTGCTTCATCAGCCAATTCCGTTGAGACATGCTGACTGCTTGCTCGTAGCAGCTTGAAAAAGATCGCCATCGTTTCGAGAGAGAGGTTGATAATCGGTCCTGTACGCTGAACTGCTTGCCCGGCCACCGGCTGACCATCTTGGTGAGCATCGCTGACCACCTTGTCCCGCAGGAACCTCAACACCGCCTGATACAGAGAATTGCGATGGGTCGTTATCCCATCCTGAAGCCATTTCTCCAGGTTCAAAAACTCCCTCCTTGAAGCGAGAGCCGCCAAATCAATCGCAAAAGAGAAGGGCGTCCTCTCTAGCACCGTTCGCAGCTCCTTCAAATCTTGGCAAACGTCAAGAATCCGTGCAATCATGCTCGGATCCTTGGAATGCGCCTCCACCATTGAACTTATGACAACTGTTTTGTTGAGAGGCCACAGGAGATGCATAACCGTGCTCGAATTTGGGTGGTTTGCCAGATAAATTGGCATCAAAGATGAGATGACCTCCGCCTGAAGAAGGTTCCATGGTGTCTTGACCTGTGCCACTCCGAGGAGCAGTACTTCGGCACAATGTTTCTGTGGATATTCCAGCAGCGGGCGAACGTTGGACAGGTGGCCTGCCTCTGCCAAGAGGCAGAGCATTTCCAAAAGGTCGAGAGACAGCCATGCATGATTCGGTGTGCCATATGGTGACTTGTGTCCGTGCAAGCCTTCCACTGGCGGTTGTTTCCGAGGAGAGTCGGCAAATGAGAACAGCTCTAGCCCTGCTGTAACCGCATGCCGCAGGAATGATATCTGACCTTCAGCATTCTGCCATACCCTGCCACAGACTGCCATGACAGGAAATGGATCTGCGCATAGTCTCGTGTAAATGGTCATCAACAGCACAAATGCTTTCTGATCGGACACCAAGAATCCCTCGTGATCAAACCCCTCTGCAACTTTCGCCGAGCTGAAGGTTGAAACCGTCTGCTTTATGGCCTCCACGACAGCATCAATATTCCAGCTTGTCAGCGCTGGCGAGGAGTCCGATGCAGTGCTTCCACCTCCTGCAACACTGCTGCCACTACTGCTGACTTGGGCTGTAAACAAGGCTGTGGTGAATGTGTGATGAACGACCCCTAGTGGATCCGCCTCCCCCCCATGGGACCGCACCATCATCCCTATAACGCGAGCAATCTCCTCCTCGTTCAGGGTAGGAAAGAGGGCCAGCACCTCCTTGCAGTGCTCTGCAGATACCGAGCACCTATACCCAAGCTCCTCCATGACATCGGCTACATGTCCCGATGACTTTAGCTCGGCAGCCATATCTGCAAAACCCGAAACGGTTGAAGCTGATTCAGCAAAGAAATCCCTCAGGCAGTCCACATCATGTACGTCATCCATCAGCAACGGTTTCTGCACAAGAGGTACCTCCGGCTGAGAGCGAAGCTCGGCTGTGGCCTCCCGAAACGGCCCAACCAGTCGTGAGAACCGCTCATTGTTCTGAACGAGAAGCAGCAACCTCGTCAAGAGGGACTCGGGTAGGGGCCCAGCCGCACCGGGGTTCTCACACACCTCGGACAACTTCTCGAGAAGGAACCTCTCCCCTTCAAGGCTCCAGTTACTGCTCTCCGCCTCAGTGAGTGCGAGTCCTAGTGCCAACTGCTGGTGAAGTGGAAGCTTGACTGTCTTGGTCAGATCTGAGAGGAAGTCTTCCGCAACAACTTTGGGGATCAATGCCACAGCCTGACAAATCAGAGAGGCAAAGTTCGGCTGCGCCACAAGTTTCTCAAAGACTGACAGCAGCAAGTGTATCTTAGGTTGCTGATTCTGTGTCTTCCCATCAGGATCCAGCTTCTGCTCCAAGCAGACGCGAAGGAGAATAAGACTTCCATCGGGGCCATACAAGTCTGCGAGTTGGTTCGACTCCACAAGAACTGCTTTCAAGTTCTTCTTGCTCAGGTTGGCAATCAAATTGCCAATATGGCTAGCAAGCGAAGGCGCAAACGACACCATCGTGCCGCCTGCCCCAGCTCCTTTTCCTCTTCCTTCTTCTCAGCGACCATGTAACAGAAGATCCAACAAAGCATTCAACGGGCCCAACCACACCAAGAACAAAAGATGACATACCACGAAATTACAGAAACACCTGCTAGCGGCTTACCTTGACACCAGCCTGCTCCCCCAGCAAAGGAAGACATCCACCTATGAGGCTCTGCTCAACCTACACACCACACTCCGGCGGCCTCCGCAGATAGGGACACGCTTCTTGCTCCAGATAGAGAAAAAAAAAAGATACAGCTACGAGAAAAAAGGAATACACAGAACTTACAAAGATGATGCAATGCCCTGATTATGCAAAATGCAATACAATGTGCTCTGCCAGAGGGGGAATCCAACCCTTCAGCCACTGAGGTGCTCCCCGCGACTCGAAGGGAGGAGAGGTGGTTAGTCCCCCTGCAACCAGTTCCGCACACGTCACTCCGTCATTCCTAAGCTCTTCTTCTACCAAACAGTTTCACCCCATGCTCACAACCCTGACCTATGGACATTCCCTGGAAGCAATCCCCCCCTTACACACCCTGCCTCACTGCATCACTATGGCAATTGCCCACACCCTACAGCCACTGAGGAGGTGCTTCCCACATCAGGAAAGGAGAGGTGGTTCCCCCCCTACAACCAGTTCAGCACATGTCACTGCGTCATTTCTAAGCTCTTCTCCTACCCCGCCATTTCACCCGATGCTCACAACCCTAACCCATGGACATTACCTGGAAGCAATCCCTTCCTTACAGACCCTCCCTCACTGCCTCAGTATGGCAATTGCCCACTTCATCCATACTCCCATGGATGGGCTCTCCCCAGAGCAATGCATACATAACAACAAGCCTGACCAAGGGGCCCTGACAGGACGAGACAGCTCGCAAACTGTTGTGCAGCTACATCCTACCACTGTCACCACATTCGCCCGCCGCCCAAAACAAGCCCTTATACAGTCACGCCTCGCTCAAACCTGTAGGAAAGTCTCCAGCTGGAAGAGTACAAACAAAAACCGTGCCTAAGCGAAACAATAGCTAAGTTCTGTTCTATCTCTATGCTCCTAGCATATCCTGACAACCACGTAGAGTCGGCAGCAAGTGCCTACTAAGGACTGATTTACCGCTTTCAAATGCAAATATACTTTTCATTGTTTTCTTCACACGCTATGACAGGATTCTCTCTACTCTTCCCCCAAATGGCCACACCAGCCTTCCTGGCCCAAGGAAGACGAGATAGAACGTAAATTCCCCAGCCTTCTGATTCTGTTTCTTGTAAATGCTTCCCATGCGTCCAGAGAACCAATTCCGTCAACTCCCAAGCTGCTGCTCTTCAGCATCTGCCGCCCACATTTTGCTGTATCAGGTCAGTGTCCGTGCCCACTAATCCAGCCGCAGGTCAGGTTGGGGCTCAGGACGCCTGCAATGTTGAAAACAAATCCAAGTTAGTTGTCCTGGGAAAAGACAAACCCACAAGCTGTTTGTCGTAGAAGAATTCGTCAATCGCCCCTACATTTTGCAATATTTCCATGTTGCCCCTGTAAGTTCTAACATTTGCAGGTCAGGTTCTGGCTCAAGAACCCTTCAATGTTGGAAACAAATCCAAGTTCGTTCTCCTGGCAAAAGACGAACCAGCATGGGGTTCAGTTTTTGGTCCTGTTTGTTGTGAGAGAATTTGTCAATTGCCTCTACATTTTACGATAATTTCCAAAGTTGCCCCTCTAATTTCTTATATTTGCAGCGTGCCCTTTTCATACCTTCAGCTCTGCCCCAGGCCTTTGTAAGATAGGCATGCAATTTCTGGCATGCCCCCTGGGCCTCCAGTGATTGCACCCTGGTGCCTTCTGGGCAGCTGCAGCATCCCCTAACGACACCCACAACTTTGCGGCCGGCCCTTGTCAGATGGGCATGCGATTCCTGCCATGCCCCTGGGCCTCCAGTGCTCACACCTGGGTCGATTACGGACCCAAGGACCAAGAGCATCTGACGAAGTTGAACTCGCAACAATTGGAAGGCACGGGAAGAATCTCGGGTCCAAAGAACATGCTCGATGATCTCTAAACTCGGCCAGGGCGCCGCACTCATATCAGAAATTGCAGGGGCAGCACACAAATTCCCACAAATTAGAAGGGCGATAGCCACAGTGCATAAAATTAGTTTCCTAACTTTCCTTCCTTGTGCTTTTCGTCTTCACCAGGAAATCAGTTTCTGTTTTGTGCTTTTCGTTTCAGCAGTTTAAGGTGTGCTTTTTGTTTTCACAGTTCCTTTGAACGTTGCTTTTTGTTTCCAGAGTTCCCTCGAGCATTCCCTTGCGTTGCTTCTTCGCCTCCATTTCCTTCCATCCTCATCAGCATTATTATCCCATCCCTCTATGGAATGCTTCTTCCTCGTCTTCTTCTTCTTCTTGCCATAGCTTCTTCTTCTTCTCCTTCTGCCACAGCTTCTTCTTCTCCTGACATTGCTTCTTCTTCTCATTGGCATTATTATCACCTCCCTCTATGGAATGCTTCTTCCTCTTCTTCTTCTTCTTCTTGCCATAGCTTCTTTTTCTTCTCCTCCTGCCACAACTTCTTCTTCTTCTTCTTCTTTGACTTCTACCATTGCATCTTCTTCTTCTTCCTCCTCTTCTTCTTCTTCTTCTTTTTCTTCCTCTTCTTCTTCTTCCTCTTCTTCGTCCTCTTCTTCCTCTTCTCCCTCTTCTTTTTCCTTTTTTTCGTTCTCTTCTTCGTCCTTTTCTTCATCCTCTGTCATAGCTGCTGCTTCGTCCTTGTCTTCTTCCTCCTCCTCCTCTTCCTCTGCCATAGCTGCTGATTCTTCTGCCATAGCTTCTTCTTCTTCTTCTTCTTCTTCTTCTTCTTCTTCTTCTTCTTCTTCTGCCATAGCTTCTTCTTCTTCTTCTTCTTCTTCTTCTTCTTCTTCTTCTTCTTCTTCTTCTTCTGCCATAGCTTCTTCTTCTCCTTCTTGCCTCGATTTATGCATCATTGCACAGGGGCCATTTGCTAATTATCCTTCTATGTATCGTTCCAATTCTCAGGGATATCCCACAGGACACATCCATGACTTTCATCTGACGGCAATAAGCAGCTACACCGGGGAGAATGAGTCAGAGTAGGAATGACTTAGTAGCAGGGACATGCCTGCAACTTTTCAGTCCATGCACACATGAACTAGACGCAAAATCATGACCAAAGTCATTACTCAGACTCAAAACTCGGAATTGACGACACCAGATACGCCACTTCGTCACTTTCGTAAATCCCAACAGTGTGACCACCTGTTGCAGAAAATGCATTAACACCTCGCGGTCACATGGCAACGCCGAAACCATCCCCAACGCCACGTTTCGGCCGTTGCCAACGGCCTTCTCAAGGAGAATTTAGTGGACTCCGGTTTGAGGTATAGTCATGGGCTTACCACCCTACTTATAGTCCTGTACTTGTCCTGGCACTGGACCATTGTCCCTTGGGGCCGGAAAAGTCTTAGAACTACCGGATCGATTCCCTGGGATTCTCTACCTTCTAGTCTGCTACAACTCGCGCTGCCAGGGCCCTCCATTATGGCACTACCTTCAAGCAACATCCTGTCACGGTCTTCTCGAATAGGGCTGCAGGGTAACCAAGTAACCTTAATTCGCATTTCAGCGAGAGTGAAGCAGAAGAAAACAAACAACAACAAAATAAATAAATAAAAAACAGAAAAGGCTTGCTGCGGCCGTGCATGTTCCCCCAACACAACAAAACGGTAGACGCTCCATCCCAAAAAGTTAGGGGCCTCGGGACAGGGCCTGCCCGGGGGCGGGCGTAATTTTTTGGGGGGGGAGTTCTTGGGCTGTGCACTTGAGATTCGTTCTGAGTACCCCTTCGTGGGTTGTTTTCAGCAGATTCGTAATGAGGAGGATTTGATACAGCGACGGCAGTTATCAATTCGTGCGGGACAGGACATCGGGTCCTGGTCCACCCGAAGTCAGAAAGCGGGAGTTATTTATAGGTGGATGAATCGAATCGACCGAAATACCTCGAGGCAGGAAAAAATCCCTGGCCAAGTCCTTTTGCTCCATATGATCTATAGCCGCAAGAGGTTTTCGGACATTTTTTTTGGACAGGTACTGGAGACCTTTGCAAGAAAGAGGGGGCCCATTTGGAAATTGACAGCTAGCTTTGTCCGCCGTTTTGCCGGTTCGGTGTAGCTCTCCGGGTACCCGGTGGGCCAAAATTTTTGCCTTTTCGTTTAGTTCTAGGCGCCTTCGTTTTCTTTCCTTGTCCTTCGGTTTTGTGTGCTCGATTCGGGGTTTGACTATATATCGCCCCTTCGTGTTGTAGTCATCCTCTTTCAGCGGTACTCTACTGATAGCTGCCGCATGCAGCGGAACTCTTTCCAACTGTTCACGACAGTTTCTGGGGAAGTGGTGACACAGAGTAGTCTTGGTGGAGGGTAGGGGTGTTATCCCCTGAGGAGGCCACGACTGACACATGGCCGAGAACTGTGTCGGGAGCTATGTCAGATGGGTGACGAGCTATTTTCACAATCTTTATCATCCTTCCAAAAAAAAAAAAAGGACACGTGGCCAAAACACATGTTGGAAGTATGTCAGATGGGTGACGAGCTATTTTCACAATCTTTTATCATCCTAATAAGCTCAACTGAGCATCGCTGATCATTCTCGTCATCTGGTGACCACGTGTCTCGTGTGCTTCCAGTACGCCTGATGCATGCTTGTGATGCATGCCTGTGTATTTGCCCTTTGTGCAAGCCCTTAATAACCGACAGAGGATTGCTGCTTCAACCGGTGGTTAAGAATCACCTGGGAAGGTGATGCCTAAGGACTCTTGAATTTTGACTAAGCTCGAGTAGATTCAAAGACGTACAGAAGACCGAGGGAAGCCGAGCAGTTTGAGACCGGGACAGGTTTGGAGATTTTTTGTGACCTCTACGTCGTCCCCTGTCGGACAATGGCATCGTCCAGTCAGCACCCCGGACCGGAAAAAGGCAGGGAGGATGTTTCCCTAATCGGAGGGGACTGCCACAATGGTACTCGTGTAAGAGTGCGACTGCGGCTCGTACTGCAAGCAGTGTCACGAGGACAATGAGAAACGCCTTCGGGAAGGAGCTTCAACATCCGGAGGCAGCTTCCCAGACCGCCACCTCGCACGATCGTTCTCACCTCGGCGTAATCAGTGGGAACCCCCTCGGTGCTCTGCATCTGCGGACCCGCAGTACACTCCACGACGAGAGGAGCAGAAGGACGCAGCGGGTGAACTGATGGCTATGCTACTGGCGAAGGAGGAAGCGAAGAAGTTAGCGTAAAGAGAGAGCGGAGCGGAAGAAAGCACGACATGAAGAACTGGAAAAAACTGAAAGGAGAAAGTGAAAGGAGGAGAAGAGAGCCAGAGAACAACAGGTGCACGACCTGCGTGTCGCTTGGATTATCGATATGCAACTTGCGAGAGGAACGTGACTTTGAAAATCAACGAAGGAGGAACAAGCAAAAGGAAGAGTATATGAGGAAACTGGGCTTGGGCACAAACCGTAGGAGACGTGGACATTCTGACCCGCAAGTTCAGAGGAGGAGATCGAAGACCTACAACAAAAAACTGAAGAGATTAATCTTTCTTCCGTTTTGTCCATTGACGAAAGCGACAGTTCTTTAGCTGCTACCCCGATCGCATGGACCTCCCTCCAGACCACTACCAGCCGGAAACGCGGCCGCCCCAAAATTTCAACTCTTCGGGTCATGCCACGCATTCTAGACAACCAGGTAGTGCCAGGAACTGGACCCGACGCACGGGAGAAGTTTGTGCGCGATATGAATACGCAGCTGAACTTATTGGACTACAAGGAGGTTAAGGCGATCTGCAAGCGCGAACAGGAACGACAAGCTTCTAAGGCCCTTGCAAAGACTGTATTGCCTTCCCCTGCCACTCCTCTCCGGGGGGACTCGGCCAATAGTTCGAATGCTGAGTCAACTTCAATGGAGGACTTCGAGGCGAGCAGCAAGGGAGAGGAATGAAGGCAGCAATCGGTTAAGGACTTGTGGGAACTCTGTCGGGAGACTATTCAATTGCGGAAGAAAGAACGAGGAGTAAATGTGGAACCGGAAGCGAAACTCCGATGGCTGATTTTTGCATTATCATTTAGGGGATGCTTACCATGGGGGCGAAGTTTGTCGGAGATTGGATTCAGTGGACCGATGGCGGAGTACGTGGGAATATCCCCTTGGTGTAAAGCTGCTTACATCGGGAAGACGGAACGGGATCTGAACACCCATTGGAGCAAGCATCGCAATAAGTGTGTAAGAGAGGGAAATGCTTCGCATTTCAATCTTTGGCTTCGGACCTGTGGACGGGACAACTACATACTCCTTCCTATTGTTCAGACCTCCACCGATGAGCAGGTCGCTATGGAAAGCTTTCTATTAAAAACTGGTCGCCTGTGCTTAACACTACAGGTAAGTGAACAACCAACTCTAGAAGACGTCCCAAAGGGTAAGCATGAGAGAGGGAAGACCGGTAGTAATCCCCAAGGTCAGTTCAGGAGTAGGGCTGAGAAGGATGTGCGGGTCCATTATCTTTTGTGCTGATAGTGGACCCCATACCATTAAGTTGTGTCACCTGCTCTCTTCTCAACAGACCCACGCTTGTCGCGAGTTCAACCTGAAATCTAGTGGAGGTGGTGGCTGGTTTGATGGGTGGAAGCGTATTACGCAATCATTTGGGGATTCCACTGTCCAAGTAAATGGGAAAGAACGGAAGCTAAGGGATTATAAAGACTGACCTGGAGGCTGGAGGGAATTTCAAGATTACGTACCTAAGAAAATGGCGTAGGATTAACCCCGAAGGAAAGAGATTTCTGATTTCTCTGTTGAAGAGTATGAACAAGAGGACAACGATGTTCCGTTGTGATTTGGATTTTCTTGTGGGTCTTTTCTCTGTTGCCAAGGATCTTAGTAGGAAGAGTACTCGTTCTTAGCTCCATAGATTACTGAGATCGGCTGTGAAGAAGGGTTATGGCTTTGACTTGCACAAGAAGAAGTGTACGCGTGCGATTTGATGATCGGATTAGTCTAGGAGGTGCTCGTCGTCTGATCGGTGCAAGGATAGATGACTCTCAGCTGCCAGCTAGTGTCCGCGAGATCTTGAAGCGTAGAGTCAGGACAGTCTGGGAAAAAAAAACATCTGCCGCTGACATACTGCACAATCACCAACAATTTGCCCGTCAAGATGTGTCCGCTTGATCTTGTGCCCGCTTTCCGCTTCCACGGTCCAAAGGTCACACCCGCTGTCACATCTGGGAAGATCCTCGGGTACCCCCGACCGTCTACAATGCCTGTAATATCCCTCGAGCATCCAAACCACGCCATGTTGATCTACTCAGACATGAAATCATGGAGAGCCTCGACACCTGGTCTTTTCATGCTCAGGTGAGGACAGATTGCAGCTTCGAGGAAGCTGCCAGCTGCTTCAACCCCTCTCGACGTCATGTTGATGAGCTCCACGTGGATGATGTTATGCGCGTGAAGAAGTATCGAGGACTTGTATTGACCCCAGTCAACCGTAACCCGAGGGAAACGGTAGTACTCTGCCCCCATTTGTATCATGCGGCCATGTGTGATTTGTTCATCCGCAGTCGTGGGTATGCAGTCCAGGATTGTTCTCAGGAGGACATTTGGGGATACCGAAACATAAGGATCTGGATCACTCTCGCCCCTCTCGCCCCATCTGCCCGACTGCCAGTGAGCCCTATGCCCTAGGAAGTCGGAAAGTCGTCAATGGGCTGAATCAACTTCTCAGCCTCCTACTCCTCACTTTCATTTCAATCTTATTTATGTCGACGATTTGGCGGGCCGACTTGAGTCTATCAATCAAGCTGCTAGAAAGAAAGGACCCGGTGTGCTGATCAAAGGAGCATCCTATGATAATAAACCACCAGTACTTGGCCCAGCTATCGAAGCCGAGCCTCCCAGCCTCCTGCGCGCCAAGTCCTGCCGAGCCGCCGTTGGTCTTTTTTGTTTGCTTTTTGGCTGTGGCCTCCAGCCAACGTGGTCCGGTAGGCCAAAGCCCGAATGTCGCGGCGTGTTAACGGGGAAGCGCCGCGGCCGATAGCTGGGCCAAGTACTGGTGGTTTACGGATATGTTAGTACTATTACCGGACAAGGCAATCCTCAAAGCCATCGCCTGGCTGCTGGAGTGGCATGCAG